AAGACATGTTAACACCAATTAAGGCCTTAGTTTTATTTTGAAGAATTCAATGCCTTTTAAGACTTTAAGGACCAACGGGAACCCTGCCCTTAACGTATGTCAACGACCAGATAACTTACCTGCAACTTGGGCCAACGTATGGCCTACGTAGAGAAATTTTGTGTGCCAGCGTGCTCGTATATTACGCAAAACGTACCGATAACTTATCCAACGTATGCCGGCGTTTTTGCCAGATTTTCCGTACGTTGTGCATACGCTGGTCTAAATCATCAAGGTGTGACAGGGGGCTTGAGGGGATGATCATTTACCTGCACGTAGGGGGCGAGGAACTCCTCCTACAAAGATGGTCTTCCTTGGGTCCAGCGGCTGAGAGCCATCCATCACAAAGTCACTGTCGTTAAGGTTCCAGGGCCGAATCTGGACCTATTGAAAACCATTAACAAATAAAACCACATTAATCAATTAAGTTGGATCTTAAATCAATTAGAAGTTATTAAAAAGGCATAAAAAGGATCAAATCAAGTAAAAAGGGGAGGCTCTGTAATGAACGTGAATCTGAGAGACACAGAAGTGCACATTTCTATTAATTTATAGGATTCTGATCATAAATTCTGCATCAATGAAAATTAAAAACTTACAGGAAACCATTTAAAAATGAGAAATGAGCAGGGAGGAAAGCAACAACAAGAAGATGGCAACCACCTGAACCACCCAACAAAAACTCAGTGGATGGAAATATTTATTATGCAAAGAATGACCTAATTTTAAGATTGAAAATAGCTCAATATAAAGAAAAATTGGAAAAATGGATAACATAAATTAGCCCCGGAATCTGTCTGACTTTTGTATCATGACAATCGGTTTCTGTCTTAGGCTATGAATGAGTGTTCATTTTGTTTTGGTTGTGTATTTTGCTGATTTTCAGAGGGATGAGATCAGCGCATCGTTTCTTCTTTTGTCAAAAAAAAAAAAATAGATAAAAGTGGGAGAAAAAAAAAAAGAGAAATGAAGGACCACTGGAGGACTGCTGGCACCAAGGCTACGTTCACACTGCAGCCTTAAAGGGAAACGCCGTTTTTTTCTACATTGGGCCCTTAATTTTACATAACGGCCCGGGTTGCCTGTCACAACTCCAGTTCGGCATGCAGATGATGTCATACACGCACCGCTTTGTTTTAAAAAAATATAAAAAATATAACCGCGGATGTCTGGGGGACAGTGATTCGCCTACATGTTATGAATGCTGGCCTACCATAAAGAATATATTATGAACAGTTTAGTTTGTGCCTTCAAGTCGTTGCCCATAGGAAGACGTTACTTGTCGGAATATCTTCAGAAGGCTCCAAATGACACAAAACTCATATGGGCGAGTAGAACATGATGGAATAACGTAAAATCAAGGGCCCAATGTAAAAAAAAAACGGCGTTTCCCTTTAAATGACTCAATTTTGTTTGCCAAAACACGACCTGCATCTAAACTTTTCATGAAAGTCTGAACGACACAGATCCGACTGCGACCCAGGCCACTTGGCCGCTGTGTGAACGGCCCGGCCACATTTATCCGACCTGAACCTCATAATGTTCGATAAAAAGGTCACTATTCTGGGTCTCGTTAAGCAGAAATGGGAACAACAACAACAACCATGGTGGACGATAATGCTGAGAACAATCTATTATTTTCAACAAAAGATTACATTTTTAATGTGCTGGCTCCAGTTGGAAAAGAAATGAAAGATTGCAAAATGGGCCCTAGCACTACCATCCATGCAGACTATCGTAAACGCTCACTACTTGTGACATCATTGCGTTCTCTACTGCGCATGCAGGACATTTAACATGTATGAATGCAGTTCAAACAGGAGGACATGAGGCATTTATCTGGAAATGTGAGTGACCAAGTAAAACTATCAGATTTTACCCAAAACTCGAGCATTAAGGCTTGCACTAAGAACGTAGCCTGATGCTACGTTTACGCTGCGATCAGCAGAAGCAGCCAGTTTACATGCAAACTCAATAGTTGAGGAGCATCTTGATGCAGCAAAAGGTCCCGCAGTGCGTTTGTAGCAGCTGAAGCAGCGCGTTATGAGTTTCTGAACATCTGGTGCACACGATACGCTTCAGAGGCAGCAGAAATTGGAAAAATTTAACTTTTGCTGCTCGATGCGCCACATCAACCAATAAGAGGAGCTAATCTGGGAGCTGGCAGGGAGACAGACAGCACTGCTGATACAGAGCGCTATGCAGATACACTCCTATGATACTCCTATGAGTATTCACTGTATGAAGCCTCGAACTCAGCTCTATTCCTGACATTTTGAATTGAAAAAGCTCCCTGGATGGGAAGCAAAACACCTACAAACTTGGAAACAAAGTTCGTAGGGATTGTTTTTTTTTTCCTTTGTCGGAATGACTATGACCTGGATGACTGAAGATCTTCACTAGCATATTCAAACAAGCTTGACTTTCTCCTGACCTTACGATTCCTGATTGTGAGATGGTCGTGAAAGGCTAATCACCCTTCGTTACCCACTGCACCAGCTAGGGTTGTCAAGAGTATCGATACTCAAAAACGTATCAATACTGAAAAGTTGTATCCGGATAAAATACTCATTTTCAAAAGTATCGATACAGTGCTACCACCAGTGGCACCTAAACAGTCATTCACCTTATGCACAGATTAGAGGAAAATGCACTTTCCGAACACTGTGTGATTGAATAATTCTGTGCACTTTTCGGAAGGAACACTTAATTTTAATTTTGTGAGTTTTTTATCAAGCTTGCTTAATATTGTGCACAGCATACAACCTCAAAATATTGTTTATTGTATTTATGTATCTATTTATTGTATTTTGTTTATTAATGAAAAACATTCTGTTTTTTGGAGTCTTTGTTTTTATCCTTGTGGTATCGAAAATGACTTTGAGTATCGAATATTTTACTTAGTATGGGTATCGAGTTGAAAAGTTTAGTATCGTGACAACCCTAGTGCCAGCACGCACGATGAGGCTGAAACTCAGCCTAATCCAATAAATTCTCGCATGAGTGGAGAATCTGCCGAAAAAGGGAAAAAACTCATACAGTGTTTTCCCGGCCTAAGGGGTTTCTAGTTATTGACCATCAAGGGAACTTTGACAACTGCTGCTGTCGGCCCACTTGGATCTTCAGGTCACAAGGTCACTGAACCACAGACAAGCATCGGGAACATGCTAGTGAAGATTCTTAATCATCCAGGTCATAGTCATTCCAAAAAAGTTAATAATCCACTCTACCAGGAAGCTTTTTCACTTCAATTGAAAAATTGTATTTCAATGAAAAAAGCTTTGTGGATGGGAAGTGTAGTGGATGATCCTCCCACCACCAGAATGCGTTAGTATTTTTTTTCTTGCTTTATATTATATTATAATTTATGTTTAAGTTGGTTATTTCTTTTAGACAGGTATTTTCTAATGGATGCACACTTTAGTTAATGTCTGTCTAAATGGTTTATTAATACTTGTTCTTTTGTTTGAGGTGCTGCTGATGCAAACCAGCTGGAGGAGGAAACCTGGAGCGTACCATTTGTGAAAGACTGACGGGGGAGACTTGTTTCAAGTTGTTTTCAATTAGTTTGTCACTTAAATACTCACTTATTGTTTCTGCTAAGTAAAAGTTAGTTTTGCTTTATTAGTTTCATAGAATGGTTAATTTTGTATTTATTGGTTCTTTTGTCGTTTCGTGCCTCCCTCATGTGGTAGACTTGGGTTACTCCATCCTTTTTTAAGCAGCCTTCAGTTGTTTGTTTGCAGGTCAGTTTTTTTTGTTTAAGTTGGATCCTCAGTTAACCTCAGTTAAGTTGGGCCCAGATCCATGTTATTTTGTATTTAAGTTATTTTGTATTGCTTTTGAGCCTTTGTTAAACATTTTTGACACAATTAAATGAAAGCACATTTTTTCAATTTTTGAACACCTTTTGTCCTTATTAGGGATGCACGATATCGGGATTTTGGCCGATATCCGATATGCCGATATTTTAAAACTCATGTAGCCGATAAC